TTTCATTTTTACAATTATTTTATAATGTAAATTAGTAATAATAATTATATTTATATCTATTTAAAAAATATATAATTTGCACAAAAATTCATGACTATAAGTTATAATTAAATTATAGTAATTGCAACTATTTTTTTTCTCAGTATACTTACTTTCTAGAGACATGGAGCATGAAAAAGCTTTTATGCAAATTAAGTTTCAGGAAAAATTAATTAATATCGTTTCTATTATGATGGAAAAGTGAGATGTAACTTGATGACAAATAAAGAAACGTAATATACTTTTTTCTTCGTTAAAGATGCCTTTTATGCCAATATAATAGTGATGCTGGGAAATACTCGCTTGACGAGAGTAACACACGAGCTGAAGTGGTCTTATTTCCTCGAGAATTGCTATTATGAAGCTTGGAAGACGATACAGCGTAGTGATGTGATTATGAAATACGCGCAAGGAGACGGTGGGCTGGATTTCACATGTCGCAAAACATCGATGCGGCATAATACCGACTTGCAATCGCGAATACAGGTGTGCTTTAAATCCACGGAATTTACGCTCGCTCATTCGTTTCTCGGAATATCTCGTAAAACAAAAGAAAAAAGAAAAGAAGAGAGAAAATATACGGATCAAAGAGTCGCGAGAATTAAATGCAGTCCTATGTGGTATGTTTAAACGAATTCTCTTTGCTATTACATTTTTCTACGGTTTATGTAACGTATACTGATATTTGTATAAATTTATTTAAAAAACGAGTACTTATTAAAATGAACTTATAAAAACGAGAATTTATTAAAATGAATACGTTCGCGCAGTCTTGCACGCGGAATAGTGAAAGCGCATAAAATTATGCGAGAACGTTTTTGAGACGAGATACATTTTGCAAAGCACTTATAATTAAAAAGCGCTTCTTATGATAATGCATTAACATATTTAAATGTAATATAAAAATCGGCAAAAATTTTATCTGAGACCTAAAACAAATTTATTCATAATATTTACAGTGTATATTTATAAAATATTATATATATATATATATATATATATAATAATATTATAAAAAATTTGTTTTAAGATTTTTTAAATAAAGCTATTGTCAATTTTGTTATTCTTAATGTTTGAAGTATCAAAATTTAATTTCGAATTAAAATTGTAGAAAAATTATTAAAATTACATAAATTTCTATTGCAAAAAGAGTTTTTTCAATATTATATATTCATATTTATAATATTACTTAATAAAGTTACAGTTACCAGACTTCGCGTTTAGCGATAGAGAGCTCATACTATAAATGTAAGGATTTTATTAAAATGAAAACTAAATTCAACAAACAGTTTCTATAGTTTTTTAAACAGCTGGTTGAATATTTCATAATTGTGTAAATTTTGCGATGTTCGATAAATTGATTTCTATAAACTCTATAAATTTTCAGATAATTTCTAGAAATATCTAAAATGTTTTAACATATTTTTTATTTTTAATAAACAATTTTTTAAAATAAAGTTTTCAATTTTCATAAACATAATGTGAAGATTATAATTTTTTAATATTTGCATGTACCATCATATTTATATTTTCAAATCTCATTTATAATAAGGTAAGAGTGATGTATTTCGTATAAGCTGTCATATCATATAATAAAAGCACTTTTTCATTATAATTTCATATTTTCAAAAAATCACTTCCGTCACAACAATATAATATTTATTTATATTATATATCACGCAGCTTACTCTCGACTGTCATATAAGTTTATGAATATTATGACAATTATAATTTTACATGTATTATTTTATAAATAATTTTATTATTTTATCATTTTAGAAAATATTAGTATTAAAATTATGATTTGCGATATATTTTGGATAAATATAACTCTTTTTAAGCAAACTTGTTGAGTATTTGCGTATTATGATAATTCAATGATACACATATCTTTGTATTAAAATGTTGATACGCAACGACGCAACAATCCCCATCTATACTGATACACGACAATAATATGATACGCAGATATGTAACAAATCTATAGCTGCCTTTAAATGTTATAAATTCAAATTTAATACAGTAATCGATTATCTATATCTTCATATATACGTTAAAATATTATATTTCTGCTTTAAAATCTGATGACAAATTATTATTATTATTATTATTATTATTATTATTATATATTAGTGAATTTAAATAATTATGTAACAAAGTCCAATATCGCAAAACATACTGTAAATCATAATTTTAATATTTCAGTTGAATTTAACAAAATTACGAAAAACAATTATAAAAAGTAGACTTTTTTTAGCACTTCTGGAAAACCTTCTAATTCGTATAAAATTCTACGAAGTTTTTTAAAATTGTTCCAATTTCTAAAAAATTCTAGAATTTAAATAGACATTTTAAAAATTATACAAAAATTTTTCACTATGGGTATTTCTCTATAAAATTTAATAATATATAATCGCTTAAGTTATAATCTAATCTTGAAAGTAAATAATTATATTTATTACGTCAGAAAAACTATTTGTTACTTCCTGCAATTTTTCCTGTCACGAAACTTCTGGTAATTAGTTTCTTTTCTTTAAAAAAATTACCTTCTTCCTCCATGTTCACGGATGAGATTTCCTCAGGCTTGGCCTCAATCCAAATTGCTTTCCTCCTACGGGTCGAGTATCATCGATGGCACGACGTCGCTTTTCTGCACTTCACCTTCTTCGCGACATATTTATTCGTTGCGCATCGCACAACGTTCTCAAATCTCCAAAATTTACCATCCAGTAAAGCGATTCGATTTCGCGCTATTCGTCTCTGGGCACATTGAATCCGGACCAGATCACAGACGAATCCAATGCACGTGTGTAAATATTTACCCCCCGATGTCGAATCCAATTAAATTTTAAATGCGCGAATTTTCACAATTATCGCCGACAGGTGCGCAGCTCCGTTCGACGGTTTCATTATTAATTGTTTATTTGTTCTCAATCTATTTCCCTTTTATTTTTTTTCTTTGTAAGAAGGTTTGACAAAAAACATTCGCGGATATCAATGAGAAATGATATCGTTGGCCGCAGAGTTGAGCTTTTCTTTCACCGTAAATCAATCACGAATTAATTTTCAGTAGATTCAAGGATTAAAATCGTTACTGTAACTTAAATGCGATCGAAACTCGATTTACATATTATATGCGTATTATTTTTAGAGAAGAGACCTTTTGTTTAGATTCTCCAATCTGAAATTTTTCACAGACTTTCCATCCAACCGCTTTCGCAGCCGCGAAGCTTGCAACTGGTGGCCAAATTCCCACGTCGGGATCACTGAGACGCTTCCCTACAATCCCTTCGCGCTAACTCCGTTGTAAGCTGCGCGAAAGCTCGTGTCATTCGTGACGCTTTAATCCAAGCATAATCGTCGAGAAACTGTAATATCATTCATAATTTCGAGGCGTTTTTGCACGTTTGCTCATCTTTGACGTAATCCTTTTTATAATCGCCAAATTTAAAATTAATTTATAATTAATTATAATATGCACAGAAAAACTTCTGTATCGGGTTATAATAGTTTATTCTGAAACAAATTTAAACAATGATAAAATTTTACAATTATGTATTTTTTTTTTACAAAATCCTGAGGAAATTTTCATATTTCGTAATATTTTTGAGAATTTTTCATATTTTCAATTATAAAGATTTGATGAAAAATATCTATATATGTACGGTATCATTACATATTATTATTATTATTATTATTATTATTACATAACTATCATGACAAATGTACGAATGTGTTTTTTATTTTACGTACAAATTGTAATAAATAATTTGTTGTGATATTTATAAATTATAAATTGACATAAGTAAAATTAAAAAAAAAATCTAAAATGATTTTTTTATAAAAAACTTTTTAATAAATAATACATCTAAAAACATATACAAATTGAAAAATAGGACAAATATTTCCACTTGTAATACCTAGTGTTTGCAATCAAAATGTACACCGATTATATTTATCTATTAATCATCTGTGTCAGATAGTTATATGTCATCATTTTATTATTTTTCTCATTTTGCGATATAGTAATGATTTCGATTAGTAATGACTGAGTAAAAGCTTCGCTTTTCTTAGCGCCGAGACACTGCCGTGTCTCCAGATTATATATATATAACAATTTACATAATAATATTACAATAATAACTTCTCATAAGCATATTGAACCATAATATTTAAGCACATGGAATTTACATATTAAAATAATGAAAATTATAATTATAAAATCTTCTAATCTTTTTCTTACATTTTTTCTTATATATACAAAATCTATTAATTTATACTACTAAGTTATTATTAAAGTTATACTACTAAGCGATTTGATTTATTTTATTAGAGAAAGTAAAGACAGATGTTAATTTTTAAAAATAAAGAAAATATACTTTTATTATATCGATAAATGAATCACACCAGTGTTTATTTTGTACTTATGTATATTTTTTATTTTCAATATGTATCTGTGTTTAGTGTATTATTTATATAAGTGTTGATTATGTATATATATATATATAAAATATAAATTAAAGAAATTCCATTTCCCGCTCGATGCCAACAAATTTAAGTTGCTCCGTTGGTCCATATCTAAAAATTACCACTTATATAGTTCCACTTATATAGTTTCACTTATATAATTATTATACAATTGATGAATCAATTAATATTAAATATCTAATATTATATAATATACCTATAATCAAAAAATAATTCTTCACCAGGTTGTATTGCTCTCTTAGCAAAAATACCTATTCTGTGATCACCGTTCACCATCATTACTTTCGCATAACAATTAGGATTTATCGAATGATTGGCGAATCTTATTTTATTCCCTTTTCTTGTTGCATCAACGACAAAATCTAGAAAATATTCTCTAATTTATCTCATTTTTTATTTACTATGTTTATTACTCACATTGTACTTACCATTATTAAGATTGAAGAGAAAACTGCACATATATTTATCGTATACTTTTCCTCTTCTATCGGCTTCATCTTGACTAATAATTTCACCGCAGTACTCCGAAATAAATTCATTCTTCGCCGCTGACTCTTTCAGGAAAATTCCCCACCCTGCTACATCTGAAGGTGCCATTAAAAGATGCTTGTCTACAAATAACATTTTCTTATACTTTGTGTACATCTTTGTTGTTTTTAATAACATATTTGAAATTTTATTAATCTTACGAAGACCACGTTGCACGCTGACATTTTTACAAGATATTTTAGTGATATGGAATTGATCAGCGCCACACGTTTGACAAAGATCCGGGTCACATTCCCTTACGGCTAAATAACACGGGCATTGTTTCGTGTTGCACTGAGCCTTACATCTACAACCAGGAAATCGATTTTGGCACTCGCTGCTGCATTGACAGAATTTTTCGCAGAAATTTTGTGCCTGTATGCAAGGGCATGAATTATCGCATTGGCGACCGGGATGATCGCAAGGTGCGAAATTATGAACATGATTAGCACCTATCGAAAGAAATATAATTAGAGATCGAAAAAAACATAAACTTAACATTAAACTTAAATTTTTTTTAAATTAATTAATAAATATACCAGAATCTTTCTTAAGTTGTATCTTTCTGCAATGCATGGACCATAACCGATGCTTCTTTTTCTTTTTTCGCGGTGGCGTAAAGTCCTTCAGATTTTCTACAGCGGGAATATCCGAAGCCTCTTTTTGTGCAAATTCATAAACCTCCTGGCAAGTTTTCGTTAACATAATTTGTGCTAATGCACATGGATTGCCAGGGAAGGCTTTGTGAAGAGCTCGGAACAAGCTCTGTTCTGAACCTGTCCATGAGAATTCACTTTCAGTCTTAATTCGTTTACCAATTCCTAATAACGTGAAGGGCGCCTGATTTTCAGGTTGTGCTTGATCCTCCATCATTTCTTCAGATTTGGAGTTATTTTTATTAACGTTTTGTTTAAAGTCTAATTTGAAAAAAAAATAAAACTTCTTAGAATTTCATTAAATTTAAAACATACACACATATACACATGTAATCTAATTATAATAGATTAATGAATTATATATTAACCTTGACAACTGCCTCCTTGACCGTACTTATTGCTATCGTTACTATCCTCGCTGCTCGCTTCGTTTCCAGAATCGACGCTTGCTTGTTTTCGTACCTTCCTAGGACCACCGCGTTTTTCATCACCTTCCTCTTCTTTTATATCCGCCGCCTGTGCCGCCAGCTTTTCCTTCATCCCCTCCTACATAAAAAGTTATATCAAATCTGACTTTGAGGATAACATTCATTAAAATATAGCATAATAACGTACCAAATGCATGTAACATTCAGTCCCGCATGGCTCCGGAAACGGTTTCAAATCGGGTCCTTTTCGTTTCAGCAAATTCGGACCTGGATGGCAAACTTGAAGACCTACAAGCAACATCATAAACTCACTATGTACTCTTGTCGGCTAATTCGGCATAGTGAATGGAGAAAAATTAGTAGACAACAGCGATGAACGATGAATGAAATATGATTGCAGATGAGCCCTTGAGGATGTCTCTGTGCTAAACAAAAAAAAGCTTCCGATCGATAATGCATTAGTTTGTATGCAATATTGTTCTTTACCTTGCGGCGAGGTCCCCCTGGCTGCTACGATAAATCAGGAATCACAAATTATTGTAATTAATAAACTTTCAATTTAGAACACTTAAAATATTATACAATACTTTAGTAAGTTGTATTTCAGCGAAGTATTTTTATATCATTGATTCTACTTTATCTCTAAAAGTAATATCCTATATTATTTAGTAAATAAATAATCAGTATTAAAGATAATATTACTTTTGCGATCTACTTCACAAAATACAACTTAAATAATCATTAAATAGATCGTTTCACTGCAGTATACTCACGATGTAAGAAGCAGTCGTACTTGAAGCATCTCCTGCAGAACAAAGTATGAAAAGAATGCATCGTTTGTTCTCTAGGTACACTTCTTGCATTTATACCATCTATATTAGGCGTACACTCTGGCGGTAAAACATTCGGATCGAATCTTTCTGTCAATTCAATATATTTTTCTTTTAATTCTTCAGGTCTTCCTTTATCAGGGAACATGCTCGATATTGCCTGAAAATAATTATAAAGCAATTATGTTATAGGATTATACTATTTAATATTGTATTACGATATTTATATAATTTCCTTACATTAAATATATGCATTGACGGAAATGGAGTAGCAGCAGTCCTCCCACTTTCAGTTTTATCTATCTTTATTTCAACCTTTATTTCATCTTTCTTGTCGTTTTCTTTTTGATTTTCTTTTTCTTTTAAGGATTCCTTTCCTTTCTTTACCTGTTCCTTGTCCTTATCTTCTCTCTCATAATTTGCTAGAGCATTCACTAGATCGACAAAAATGGAATCATCCATAAAACCAGATTCTCTGTCACCATGGACCTGCAACAAAATTAGTGACAACAAAATTCTTCTTTCCAGTTCATTATATGAGACTTTCAATAAGAAACACAGTTAACATAGTATAACATAATGAACCATTATATTTTTGTTGTGTTATCATCAATATTAAACAAAAATGAAGAAATGATTCAGTGTCAGAGCTATGGTACACAGAAAAATTTAAGCAGTAAGACATAAGCAATAAGGAAATCAACATGTTGGATTTAATATACAATCTCTATTGTGATTGATCGCGTTCAGCAGACTCAACTGTTGTGAAGCAGATCCGTGAGCACTCGCTGCTATTGGTGTACTCTTTTAGATCCAATAGCAGCGAACGCTCACAGATCTGCTCCGCAACAGTTGAATCTGCTAAATGCGACCATTGACTAATTCACTTATTGTTTATTCACTTCAGTTTTTTGTGTGCTATGACCCTAACACTGTATCATGTTTTAATTATTCTCCATACCTTTCCATCATAATTTTTTATAAGCTCCTCGATAAAGGTACCATCCTGATCCAAAATCTCATCGCCCATATAAGGAATGTTATGCAAAACGGTTTCATCTTCCACCATAAAGTTCTGTTGAATGGGAGCCCATGTATACATGGTTGGTATAGGAGTCACTGCATTAATTATTTTTACAGGACAACTTTGCACATCTCCATCGGGACTAGTAATTTCAGCTTTCTTCATACAAGAAAGATGAGGTGGAATGTCTTGCATTGCCAGCCACGTTGGCTTTCCATCTGTCCAACGCTTTTGTTCAGCAATAAGAAGCTCTATTCAACAAAGAATCATAAATAATTAATGTAATACAAAGTTGTTATGCTAATATTGACAAATAGCTATAATAATTATTTTATAATTTGTGCTTAGATAACAACAAGAACAGAAAAAAGTCGAAGGACCAAAAGGACAATGAGATAGAAGGAACCGTGAGAAAGACAGTAAAGAATGACTAAAAATTGAAAACTGTATGGAGAATAGGAATTTAGCCGTAAATAAATACAAATAAAAATTAGAAGTTAATAAAAATAAAGAAAAAAAATTAATACTGTATATGAAAAAGAAAATCCGAAATAAAAAGATGTGGGGAAGAGACAGAAGTATAAACTGAAAAAGATCCGATAAAAATAATATTGTATTTTCTTTCCGATCTATATATATATATATTCCCCCTCCCTATGTTCCTCTACCTATTCCCTCTCTTTTTAGTCTCTTCTCACTATTTTCAACTTTACCTTCCTTCTCTGAAAGTCAATTTTAAATTTATTTTGTCTCATTTCAAAGAAAAGCGACATTGATCTTTCTCTCATCGCATCTATTATGCCTGATATATATTTTAATCATTTTTAATTGAACTCTCAACTACAATCATGAAAGGTATTCTTTATTATTTAATTGGTATTTAACTGGTATTTAATTATTTTAATTCAATATAATAGATAGATGTACACATTATTTTAACTTTCACTAATATTAGTATTGTATTATTTAATAATATATTATATTATTTCTGTCGTCCTTATATAATTTTACATTATTATATTTATAAATATAATTTATTATATTCCATTCTAGACACCAGTTTATAATACACTGACATTCTTTTACTACACATTTTAACCAACAAGACAAAGATTCATTTTAATTATTGATACCAACGGTTATATAGTTAGACAATGAGAAGTAATTTTTTTTTCTTAGATCGACTATATGTTATTTTTTTCTAACAAATTTTATAAACATTGAAAATGATCCGATCATGATCGAAACGTTTATTAGCCGGCATGTTTTATTAAAGTTCATAATAATTAAATAAGACTTTATACTTATTTACCAATCTTTCTATATATTATATTTCTGGCTCGTAGCCCTTTTCTTTTAACTCATTTTTAAATTTTTGAGCCATAATACCATAATAATAATAATATTGTAGTTGAAATTAATAAGTTAGGATTTAGATTTAAAAATAGAACAGCATAAAAAGAATGGAAGAATGAACCACATTCTCTTCTTGGCTTTGTAATGCTGAAGGAAAGATTCTATTACTTTTCTATTTTATTACTTTTTGACATTGCAAACGCAAATACTTGCCTGTCATGACTTTGCGATTCTGGTTCCACGCGATCTTGACTTCGTCCGCTCGTTTATAGCGTTTCATTTGCCGCAATCGCATGTATTCCGATTTTACCCTCTTCCTCCATTCCGCTGTAACTTTGGCTTTCGACATAGTAACATAAATGCACAATTTTCGAGTAAAACTAATAAATGCTATGATACATATTGCTGTATATCTTCTTTTTCTTTTACGGCACGTGATCTCCGAAAACAGGTTCGATACGGTAAATATATTATTGCTATGTGTACGCCAAACAACATAAATTGACAAAAATCGCCATTTGGTTTACAAAGTGAACGTGAAGGCTAGCGAAGACGAAACTAGAAACAGCTGGCGCCACTATTCAAGTGTAGATGCGCCGCATCGTTGCGCAACATCGGTACGTAAATAACGTTATCTTATTGGTCATGAAGACTGCCCTCTTCACGCAAGTTGTTGACTCTCTTTGGTTTCAGTCTTTCGTGATCGTTTGTCCGCGAATACGAGGAAAGCTAGTGTTTTCCCGTTTTCCGGTCGTTGCGTTATCAAGTACATTAAGTTTAGGTTAAGTTATGTTAAATTTCATTCTTTGACGTGTGAACATTAGTAAATGAGTCCGATTGAAATTTGTTAAAGTATATATTCGCGTATATGATTCAAGAGACGTATTGCCTTATTGTAAATCTCACAAAATCCGTAACACCTTTCTTTCGAACAACAAACGCAACACAAACGGAGAAAAAGTCTTAGTTGAAACAGTTGAATTGATTATTTCGTGAGATTATATGAGTGTTCAAGTAACTGCATTTTTACTCGAAGCATCAACAAAGTACTATCAATGATGACCGACGTTTTATAAAAGTTTACTTCACTGCCAAAATTTGAACGGTTAGTTTATGATACAATATTAATTTTATGATTTATTATATTTTGTTTGATGTTTTTAATTACATATAATTTAGATATATTACATGATAATATTCGATTTTTTATTTAAATGCAGCACTTCTATTGTTATTATTCGTGTTTGATTATGTTTATTTATGCAGATGATAAAACAATATGGAAGAAAATGTAGTTTCAGCAATGTGTATGTGGTATTATTGTGTAATATATATATTGTGTGTATATATATATATATATATATATATATATATATATATATATATATATATATATATATATATA